TTATTATCTGGTCCCACATTATCTTTCATAAAGCTATAATAATAATTGTAAACCTAATTATTTTGGGTCAACTTTGCAAATGTGCCCTCTCGAGTACCAGTTTATTTACTGGAATACCTGGAAGGTTGCCCTGCTAGACCAAATGTCAGGAGTGGATTGTGAAGAAGAAAGAAAGAAACCTGGACATCTGATTTAATGTCAGCAACTTAAAAGCTTCATCTCCTATCCATGTCTACTGCCTCTTCACAATTCTGATAAGGTTCACCTATCACTTCCAAAGTACAACCTCCCACCATTTTTTAAACTTTGTTCAGGGAGGACTTCCACTGTATAAAACATCTGAACATTGACCATTCTTTCTGTTCTGGCCCTTCTCCTGGACAGCTACCTCCTCCACCTCTGATCATCCCAAAGGACTACCATCATGAGTTTGTCACCCAAATCTAACATTGGTGGGGATGCTTCCTTACGTCACAGTGAAGTTGTAGTAATATGTACATCAACTGGCATAGAAAAATAAAACTTTCTGCAATGACATGATTATCTACACAGAAAATCCCAAAGATTCTATATAGAACAGCTACTTTAACTAATATGCAAGTTTGGCAAGATTATAGGATACATAAAACAATCAACTGCATTTTTATATACTAGCAATAAACAACTGGAAGTTGAAATTTGAAAAATAGTATTTAATTTAATACCAAAAAACGCAGAGTACTTAGGTATAAAGCTAATAAAATATGTGCAGGATCTATGTGCTGAAAACTACAAATTGCTGATAAAAGAAATTAGAAGGGTCCTACACAAATAGACAGATACTATGTGTCTGTGAGTTAGAATATTCAGTATTGCTAAGAAGCTAAGTCTCCCTAAAGTCATCTATATATTTTTTCAATGCAAACCCAATAAAATTTCCAGCAATGAGTTTATTTTTAAAAATCACAAAGCTTATTCTAAAAATTATGAAAAAAGTAAACAAATTAAAGTAGCCAAAATATTTCAAAGAGTGGAATTGGAAAACTCATACCATCTCATCTCAAAACTTATTATACAAGGCTACATATTGGTAAAAATGATAGACACACAGATTAATGGAACTAAGCAGAGGCCAGAGAAAGACCCACACATCAATAGATCGATAGATTTTCCACAAGGGCCAACAGAAATTTGATGTGAAAAGGCTAATTCATTGGATGCTTACAGGCCAAAAGAAATGGCCTTTGACCTTACACTTTAGAAGACAAACTCACATGGATCATAGATCTAAATGTAAAGCCTGAAACCATAAAACTTTTAGATAAAAAAGGAGAAAAATCTTTGTGACCTTGGATTAGGTAGAGTTCTTAGATCCGAAACCAAAAGCACAATCCATGGAAAATGCAAAACTGAACTTTGTCAAAAACAAAATTTCTGCTCTATGAAAAATACTGAGAATGGGATTAAAAATACAAAATACACGGAGATAAAATATTTGCAAAACATGTAACTGACAAAGGACATATGTCCAGAACATATAAACTCCCAAAAACAAGAACAAGAAAACAGTTCCCCCAAAGAAAACAGATATACACATAAGACACATTCAGATATAAAAGATACTCAACATAGTCTTTAGGGACATGCAAATTAAAACCAAAGTGAGGTGCCACTATATACCCACTAAAATGGTAAAAACAAAACAAAACCCTGATATGCATTGACGGTGGGAATGCAAACTGGTATAACCTTTTAGGGTTGTTAGCTTTCCATACAGTTAAACATACTATACAATCCTACTCTTCAGTGTTTACCAAGACAAAGAAAACTTGTGTTGGCACACAGACCTGTATGTAAATATTTATCACTGTTTTCTTCATGATCACTAACAACTGGAAACTCAAATATCCTTGAATTCATAAATAAATAAACCAAACTTAGTATGTCCATACTAGAATACCAATCAGCAATAAAATGACTATGATCTACACATCAAGACTGATGAATCTCAGAAGCATAAAGTGAAAGAAGCCAGACTCCAAAGATTATACACTGTGTGATTCCATTTTAGGACATTCTGGACAACTATGCAGACAGAAAACAGGTAGATGGTTGCTAAAGGCAGGGAGAGGTGACAAGGAGAGGGTTTGACTATGAGACTAGGAAGGAATTTCAAGGCAAGGGATCCTGGAAGTGTAAAACGTCTTGATTATGGTGGTGATAATACAATAGTAAGCATTTGCCAAAACACAGAATGATACAGCAGAGTCGATTTTAGTGTATACAAACTATTCCTTAATAATAATTTTACAAAGAACGGTAGATTGTAGACTTTGCATAGATGCCTTGTATCTCACTGAGGAATTTTTAGCATGAATGGATACTGAATTTTGTGTTTTACTTTCCCTCAACCTACTAAAATGATCATATATTTTGATCAAAAGAATCCAGACATAAAAGAACGCATACTGAACCCACATGTAGCTCAAGAAAACAGACTTAACTAATATGAGGTATAGCAATCATACTTGTTGCCACTGGAGGTGGGAATAACTAGAAATGTACACAAGGAAACATTCTGGTTTAATAGAAATATTGTATATATCGATCTTGGTGATGATTACAGAAGTGTATACATTTGTCAAAATTCATGAAGCTATAAGCTTGAGATTTACATGTGTTACTGTCTGCAAATTATACCTCAATAAAGTATTAGCATACAAAAGTGCTGGTCGCAACCCCCTGAAGTGATTTTTGGACCTACTGGCAGGTTGATAAACACTTGTTCACAGGACCTGCAGGGTTGGGAAAATGAGTCTTATGTGTCTAACTTAAATGTCCTCCAAGCCTTGCAGAATTCGTCTTTTAAGTACATTTCATAGAAGTTCTTAGAGAACTGAATAAAAATTTCAAACATGACCGTTCTCCCTTTCATTCATTTAACATTATTAAATACCTATCATGTGTTAGGCACTAAGAAGACTGAATAGATATGGCAGTCAACAAATCTCTATTCTCTTGGAGCTTGTATTCTAACGGAAGAAATCCTGGCACTTCCAGCACAGCCCTTCAGTGAATTTCAGATCAGATTTGTCCTTCCTAAGCCTCTCCTCTTGTGTAGTATCTGCTAAATGTCAAGGTTCTGAATGAAGTCCTTATGTCGCCACTCTCATGAGGCTTCCCTGCTGTGTGGCCACTCAACCACTGTTGACATGTCAAGCCCTGGCTAAATACTGACTCTTTTATAAGCCAATGCTTTGTCTTCTAGGACAGGTCTGATCATTGGACTGTTTCAGCACCCATTTGAGGTATTAGAACATATAATTTTATGGAGCTTCTTTCCTATGTGAATTCTCCGGGGAGAGAAAGTCCTTATCACCCTCATCATCGGCATGCACTCGCTGGTGAATTATAAGACTTGAGCTCCAACTGAAGCCCTTCCCACACTCCTCACATTTGTACGGTTTTTCTCCAGTGTGAACTCTCTGATGGGCTTGAAGGTAGGAGCTCCAACTGAAGACCTTCCCACACTCCTCACATTTGTACGGTTTCTCTCCAGTGTGGACCCTCTGGTGGGCCTGAAGATAGGATCTCTGTCTGAAACGCTTACCACACACATCACACCGGTATGGCTTCTCTCCTGTGTGGACTCCACGATGAGCCAGAAAATTTGAAGCCCGACAGAATCCTTTCCCACACTCCTCACATTGGTATGGTTTCTCCCCAGTGTGGCACCTCTGATGGGCTTGAAGCTGTGAACCCACACTGAAGCCCTTCCCACACTCTGCACACTGATATGGTTTCTCTCCTGTGTGGACTCTCTGATGCACCTGAAGACTCGAGAACTGACTGAAGGCCTTACCACACTTCTCGCATTTATAGGGTTTCTCTCCAGTGTGGATTCTACAATGAACGTTGAGATCTGAACTCCGGCTGAAGCCCTTCCCACATGTACCACATTTGTATGGTTTTTCTCCAGTGTGGCCTCTTTGATGGGCCAGAAGATTTGAGGCTTGACTGAAGCCTTTCCCACATTCCTCACATTTATAGGGTTTCTCTCCTGTGTGGACTCTAAAATGAATGTTAAAATCTGAGCTACGACTAAAACCCTTTCCACATGCATCACACTGATATGGTTTCTCTCCAGTGTGGCCTCTCTGATGGTCCAGAAGATTTGAGGCCCGACAGAAGCCCTTCCCACACTCCTCACATTTGTAAGGTTTCTCTCCAGTGTGGCTTACCTGATGTGCCTGAAGGTGTGAACCTACACTGAAGCCTTTTCCACACTCTTCACATTTATAGGGTTTCTCTCCTGTGTGGATTCTACAATGAATGTTAAGGTGTGAGCTATAACTAAAGCCCTTGCCACATGCCTCACATTTGTATGGTTTCTCTCCAGTGTGGATTCGCTGATGAGCCTGCAGTCGTGAACGCCAACTGAAGCCCTTCCCACACTCTTCACATCTATAAGGTTTCTTTCCCATGTGGACTCTCTGGTGGACTTGAAGATATGAACCCTGACTGAAGCTCAGCCCACACTCCTCACATTTATAAGGTTTCTCTAATGTGTGGACTATTGGAGAAGCTTGATAATGTGAGCTTTTCCTGACGTTCCTCCCACATTCCTCAGATTTCTGTGGATTCTCTCCAGTGGGGACTCTCTGATGATGGTGAAGATACAACCTCTGTCTGAAACCCTTACACGAGATATCATACTTATATGATTTATCTCTGCTATGGACCTTCTGATGGGCTTGGAGACTTGAAAGCCGACGGAAAGTGTTTTCACATTTTTCACATTTATAGGGCTTCTCTCCTACGTGGGCTGTCTGGTTAGTTTGAAGACGAGAGTGATGAATGAAACCTTTCTCACACTCCTCCCCCTGGTAAGGTTTTCCTCCCCTGTGGTCTTTGTGAACTTGAAGATGTAAATTCTGATTAAAGCCTTTACCCAACTCCTCATCTTTATAGAGGGCATCACCTTGTTTCTCCAACTGACAGCCATTTCCTTGAATATTTACCATGGGATCTTGGCACAGGGTTAACTCCTTTGTAACCTGTTGCCAGATTTGGGAGCAAAACAGCTCTTCATGTGGCAGGTACTTTAATCCAATTTCCTGAAGAGTCTCCGTGTCATTTAGATTCTTGTCTCCTAAAATGATAAAGAGAATTTAGAGATGAGGCATGTAAACACTTTGTTTAGAGATGTCAAGGCTAGAAACTTAGGCCCATACCCTAAGGCTTATCTTGAATCAGGAGAAGATTCCATTTTACTCCATCATCAAAAACCAAGAGGCAGTCCACCCAGCTCCCATTCACTACATGTTAATGAGATCCATTTAGAATCATACTAAATTTTACATGTGAGGAGCAGGTGGGTGCAGATCAAGAAAAATACTACCTAGGGAGTCTTTACCAAGAAGAAGCTGCACCTACTAAAAGCCTTGTCTTCTTTGCTAAGCAGGTGTCTGATAAATAGTTTCCACAATTCTGCCGATTGGATGCACATCTGACCCAATGCTCAAAATGTCTAGTAAGACCCTTATAGACAGATGATCAGAAGGTGTCCCCAGGCAATGCTGAAAACCTTTGTTTGAAACTATTTCATTGGAAGTTTATTCCATGTTAGAAGCCTTGAAGAACTAGGTTGGCTGGAAAGAGACATGTTTTGGGGAGAACACATCATATCACCTAGGTGCCTAAAATTCAGAGTATAAGTAGGGAGTGGTCTTTCACCTCTTACTGGGAAATAGTCTTCAGGATGGCAATGGCAGAAAAGGTTTATAGTACAATAAATTATTCTAAAACCTCACAGCAATAAAGTTCCACCCAGGTGGAACCAGATGTGCCCTAGATGTGTTTTTTTTTTTTTTTCTGGATACATACCTACATTTATCCAAAAGCACCTAATAAATTAGAATTAGATTAGAGAATCATGAGGAGGGGGTGCTGTTCTAGACTATGCCTTCATCACATTTCTGTTTATCACTCATTAAATATGTCTACAACTAATGGAAAAAAGTCCATGTAAACCATGATTATCTCATTCAGTCAGCCAACAAGTATTTACAGCATGTCTGTCCTCTACCAAGTCTGTTCTATACACTGAAGACAAAGCAATAAAGAAAACAGAATTTTGGGGCACCTGAGTGGCTCAATAGTTGAGTGTCTGCCTTTGGGTCAGGTTGTGATACCAGGGTCCCAGGATCAAGCTCCACAGTGGGCTTCCTGCAGGGAGTCTGCTTCTCCCTCTGCCTATGTCTCTGCCTGTCTCTGTGTGTCTCATGAATAAATAAAAATCTTAAAAAAAAAATGAAAATTAAAACAGAATTTCTTCCCTCTTGATAATTATATTCTAGTGGGAATATAGTGAGATAAACAAAAATATATGTTAACATGGTTAAGTAGTGATGAATGCCTAGACACCAAGTAGTGATAAATGCCTAGACACCACTTGGGCAGGGTAAGGAAAGGAGAACGGGGGAAGAAGAAAAAGGGTCATGAACAGAGTGGTCATGGGAGGTCTTTCTTATGATGTTATGATTTGAGAAGAAACCTACATGAAGTAAAGGAGGGGCCGAGAGGATGACAGAGAGAAAGAGCACTCATGACAGAAGCAAGAACAAGTAGAGGGTGATGAGGCAGGGCCATGGGTGGCAAGCAGAGTGGCGAAACTGGATGGGACAGATTGACATGGGGGCAAGTGACAAGGCACATGTGCAGAAGGGTGGAGAAATAGCACGGAGCAGGCAGGTGGGACATCAGGAGCCACTTGAAGTATGTGGCTTTTACTCTGAGTCAGATAAGAAGCTACTGGAGATGGAAACAGAGGACAAGATCTAACACACATAAAAAAGAATCACTTTGAATGGAGAACAACTGTAAAAGTAGCAAATGCAGAGAGGGAGAGGGTGGAAAAGTGCTGCAGGATTCACAGGTGAGACACTGAGTGGCGAGGCAGAGTGATGGAGGAACCAGAAGCATGGCCGATGCAGCCCCATGGCTCTCACCTGAGGCGCTGGGACCCCAGGCTGCCGTCTTCACCATCCGAAGCTTTTCTCCCCTCTCTAACTGGAGCATTACATCTGGCGTGAAGGGCTGATGCCCTGTCAAAAGGCAAGGACGCACATTTAAAATTACTAAAAATTACTAAAATAACTAACCTAAAAATGTGGCTCTCACCACAGCATCTTTAGGACATCAAAACTAGTGACTTCCAAATAGCCTATCAGAGGACTACGTTTTATGCAAAAATCCAGGATATGGAGACATAAGTGTAAATCATTGGAAAAAAAATCATTGAGAAAAAAAAAAAGGTCTGTTTCTTTCAGGCCCTTTCTACCATTTCCCACATGATTTTTAGCAACAGGCTGTAGTTTCTGCCACAACGTGCAGTTATTGCCAAGGGCTCTGATTATTTTCTACTCTATTTTATTTCATTACACAAAGCTGGTACAAGGAGCACCTGGGTGGCTCAATCATTTAAGCACCCAACTCTTGATTTCAGCTCAGGTCATGATCTCAGGGTCATGAGATTGAGCCCTGTGTGCTGAGCATGGAGTCTGCTTGGGATTCTCTCTCTGCCTCACCCTCTGCTCCTTTCCCCACTTGTGAGTTCTCATTCTCTCTCAAAAATAAAAAATAAAATGTTGGTGTAATGCTCTAAATGTGTGTCATTACCCACTACTCAGAGATGACCACAACTTAAGAAAGGCCAAAAAGGGCACCTGGGTGGCTCAGTTGGTTAGGCATCTGTCCTCAGTCTAGGTCATAATCTCAGGGTCCTGGGATGGAGCCCTGCATTAGGCTCTGTGCTCAGTGAGGAGTATGCCTACTTCTCTCCTGCCTCTGCTCCTCCCCATTTGTGCTTCTCTCTCTCCCCCTCTGTCTCAAATAAATAAATAAATAAATAAAATCTTAAAAAAAAAAAAAAAAAAGAGAGAGAGAGAGAGAGAGAGAGAGAAAGGCCAAAAATGCATACAGAGGCGGTCATAGTGTCCATTTATGGCTCATTTACAAAACACACTAACGAAGAGAAAGACCAGAAAAAATGCCATCCAATTCAAGAGCTCCAAAGCCCCACACATCCAAAGATACAATAAACACCATAGGGTAAAGTTCACAGAGCGCCTGTCCTCACCTACAGAGAGCAGGTTCCTGAAGTTCTCAAGCATCACATCTCCATACAGCTTCCTCTGGGCAGGGTCCAGCAGCCCCAGCTCCTCCTCCGTGAAGATCACAGCCACGTCCTTGAACGTCACCGTCTCCTGTAACACCAAGAACACGCAACCTCAGTCTTGTACCTGGTGGCCACTGGGAGAAAGAGCACCGAGAAAACTGGAAAGGATGTATAGGAAGTAGTTCCTGAGTCTAAGAGACCAAAGTCAATTTTACTACAATAAAAAAACATTTCAAATAATACATACCATATCACGTTAGATTTTTTCTTTTTTCCAAAATAAATACCAAAAAGAACAACCTTTAAATAAATATTAGCTTCCTGTCTTAATTATTTTCTTAGGATAACTTCCAAGAAGGAAAAATGGCAATATCAAATATGCTACTTCAAAATTACTATGTAGAATGGTAGGTTTCCTTTTCAACTTTTTCTATATTTTATCCCTCCCCCAAGAGAATGTAAGTAGTAGCTCTGATTCTCTACACCATACACAACACTGAATATAACCAGTGGTTTTAAGTCCTAGGTAATCTGAAAAAGCAACTTATTTTTCATTTTGTACTTGCTTGATAATTAACAAGCTATCATATTTTCATATATCATATTATCTACTGGCCATCTTTATTTCTTTTGTCTGTTGCCAGTCAATATTCTTTGCTTATATTCTACTTGGGGGTTTATTTTATGACTCTAAAAATTCTGTTAGAGACTTTGAGCGGTTTTTTTAAATATTATATAAGTGTTGTCACCTACATTTTGCCATTGTACTTATATAGCTTTGTGTACATCATGGTTTCTCAACCTTGACACTACTCACATGGAGGTAACTGTTGTGTGTGTGGGTGGGGTGGGGTGAGGGCTGTCCCATGCACTGTAGGATGTTTAGCAGTATCTGTGGCTTCTATGTGCTAGATGCTGAAGCCTCCCTCAAGTTGTGACACCAGAAATGTTTCCAGACATTACCTAGGGACAAAATTTGCCCATGCTTAAGAATTGCTGATGTACAGGGGACCTGTGTGGCTCAAAGGTTGAATATCTGTCTTCGACTCAGGGCGTGATCCCAGAGTCCTGGGATCAAGTCCCACATTGAGTTCCCTAGAAGGAGCCTGCTTCTCCCTCTGCCTATCTCTCTTCCCTCTGTCTGTGTCTCTCATGAATAAACAAAATCTTTAAAAAAATAATTGCTGGTGTACAATACAGTCATAATTTTTCATATGGAAATTGTGTGTTCCTCACTGGAGCCCTGCACAGCCAGGTGCCCTAAATGAGCAACAGAGATCATAAAGAAGGTGTTACTGAAGAGTGACCAACAAGAGGAAGTGTAGTCTGCGGTGTCTTCCATGTACTATAGCAGCGAAGCACACAGAAAGGGCTAAGTCCCTGAGAAAAATTATTTTCCCTCACCTCCCTCTTTATCTAACTAAAACTCCTAGGAGACTTTTTGGATCAGTTTAACCTTTGGAGTTTTCTAACATGCTATAATCTTGTTTCTTTGTAGTTAACATGCAGGGGTGACCAAGGACTGCCTCTTAAAGTTGATCGGAAACCAAAGGCAGTAAGAAAAGCATCAGTATGTCTTCCTGAACTACTAGGCTTTTAAAATTAAGAAAATTATTACTTTGATAAAAATAAATCAATATGTAAATTAAAAATATAAATCAGGGGCGCCTGGGCAGTTCAGCTGGTTAAGTGTCTGCCTTTCACTCAGGTCATGATCTCAGTGTCCTGGGATCCAGTCCCACATCGGGCTCCCTGCTCAGTGGAGAGTCTGTTTCTCCCTCTCCCTCTGCCTCTCATGTTCACTCTCTTGCTCTCTCCCTCTTGCTCCCTCCAATAAATAAACAAAATCAATCAATCAATCAATCAATCAATCAATAAATAAATAAATAAATATCAGTAAATAACACATACATAATAGGATTGAGACATAGGTTAGAAAGAATCTAGCTTTGGGGGTGCCTGGGTGGCTCAGTCAATTAAGCATCTGACTCTTGGCTTTGGCTCAGATCATGATCTCAGGGTTGTGAGATTGAGCCCTGTGTCTGGCTCCCCACTCACTGTAGCATCTGCTTGAGATTCTCTTTCTCCCTCTTCTTCTGCCCCTCCTGCTCTTTCTCTCTAAAATAAATAATTTTTTTTTAAAAGAATCTAGTTTTCTTATGGGAAAATATGAACGAATATTCTCTCTCTGTGATACATCGATTATACCTGACAGCATTATGCCATATCAGAGTGTTCTATGTACAAAATCCCCAATATACTGCATATCAAGTGTACTTTTTTGATTTCGAGTCCTAAAACATTAAGAACAAAGAATAGCAAACTCCTCCAAATTCCTTTTTAAGGAAAATGGTTGTTAGGAAAACTGTTAGTAAAATATATTTTTAAAATTATGTCAAAAACAGAATTTGTTACTATTTCACTTTCCTGGTTTTATTTTTTTCTTCACTATTTTTTAATTTAAATTCAATTAGCCGGGATCCCTGGGTGGCGCAGCGGTTTGGCGCCTGCCTTTGGCCCAGGGCGCGATCCTGGAGACCCAGGATCGAATCCCACATCGGGCTCCCGGTGCATGGAGCCTGCTTCTCCCTCTGCCTATGTCTCTGCCTCTCTCTCTTTCTCTCTCTGTGACTATCATAAATAAATAAAAATTAAAAAAAAATTTAAATTCAATTAGCCAACATACAGTAGTACAACATTAGGTTCAGATGCAGTGTTAAATAATTTATCAGTTGCGTATAATACCCAATGCTTACTAGCCATTAAGGAGGGCACATGATGTGATAAGTGATGGTTTTATTATTTGTTTTTTAAGATAATATTTATTCGTGAGAGAGACAGAGAAAGAGGCAAGACACAAGCAGAGGGAGAAGCAGGCTCCCTGCGGGGAGCCCGATGTATCACTTGATCCCAGGACCCCAGGATCATGACCTGAGCCAAAGGGAGACCCTCAACCACTGAGCCGCCCAGGCATCCTGGGTTTTATTATTTTTGAAGCTTTTATTTAAACTCCAGTTAGTTAAAATACTGTGTAATATTAATTTCAAGTGTACTATATAGTGATTCAACATTTCCTTGCAACACCTGGTGCTCGCTACAACAATGTTCAACACAGTAAAAATTCTAAATTACCTAAATGTCTACGAATGGGGCAAAAGTTAAGACACATCCATAGAGTACATCAATTCAAGGGAATATGATGTAGCCATTAAATATGTAAGGAATAGAATATCAATTAATTAGGAAAGGCATAATTTGAAAATTTTAACTATATTTTATTTTTTTAATGTTATTTATTTATTTTATTTATTTATTTATTTATTTATTTACTCATGAGATACACAGAGAGAGGGATAGAGAGGCAGAGACACAGGCAGAGGGAGAAGCAGGCTCCATGCAGGGAGCCCAACGTGGGACTCGATCCCAGGTCTCCAGGATCACGCCCTGGGCCAAAGGCAGGCGCTAAACCGCTGAACCACCCAGGGATCCCCTGAAAATTTTAACTATAGATCTATTACAAATATACAGTTATGAATGCATATGAGGGACAGAATGTGGGAAAATGAAAACTTTTTATAATAAGGAAAACAGTAGTAAAGTGGGAGGAGGTTTTTCGTAACTGCTATTCACTTTTCTCCTCTATTTTATTTATGAAACTATAAAAGGTGATAAAATAAAATAACAATAATTAAACTACACTAAAATAAAAAGTCGTGATCCTCTGGTAACAGAAGAGGTTTTGAAATGCTTACTATTCTGTTTTACCGTTTTCAAGAATGCATCTAGTCACTGAAAAATGAAACAACGGTTTAAAATCTGGAAAGGAAGCCCAACTCACCTTGAACTTGGTCATTCTGTTCTTCTCCTTCCAGGGAAGGGCTGAGTCCTGAGAAGGTACGAAAGGGGAAGGAGAAAAGAAAGCGATCAGAGTAGAGCCAAGACTGTTGTTAACCCATTATGGCTAACGTATACTCATTACCCGTATTTCATGCTTTACATAAAATATCAATGGTGCCCTTTTCATGGGGCTTGATAAGCAGAGCATGGGGTGGATTCCTGAGACCACAGCGGAGAGCCTCTACACAGTGAACGACCTGCCCAACTACATATGGTGTCTCTAACTCAAGTTCTCCTTGTTGCTTTTAGGGTAGGAATCTGATTATAGGGAGGGTGAACACACAGAGTAAAGTACCCAGGTTGAAAGAGTAATCTCTAGGGCCAAATATTTTAGGTCTATGGTACTGCTACTTATTTGCTGTGAAATCTTCTGACAAATTGTTGATATATCTGTGTCTCAGGGACAAGGTGGCTCAGCAGTTAAGTGTTGCTTTTGGCTCAGGGCGTGAATCCAGGGTCCAGGATTGAGTCCCACACTGGGCTCCTTGCGGGGAGCCTGCTTCTCCCTCTACCTATGTCTCTGCCTCTCTCTCTGTGTCTCTTACGAATAAATAAATAAAATCTTTAAAAATTTCCATGCCTCAATTCTTTCATCTGTAGAAATGGAGGGATTAGCAATGTCTACTTCACAGGATGGTTTTCAGAATGAAATCAGAAGGCAGAGAGCACACAGAACACTTTCAGGGTATCTTATTTCTTAGTAGCTGTAGAAAAGCACAAAATATTCACTAACATAAAACCTGTCCTCATAAATGTTTTTGTTTTCATAAATGTTTTTTATCTATGAAGGCTTTAGAGACCATCACTCCATCATATGAAAATCACCTTTAACTTCTGAAATATGTTATTCTCTCTGGTCTGTCATACTTAACGTGATGTCTTTGCAGTAATATTTAAGGTGACAAGGATGACTCGTTTTCCTGTGTAAAATAAACATAAAATTTACCCTTTTAACCATTTGTAAGTGTACAGTTCATTACATTTAAGTGCATTCCTACTGCTGTGCGATCATCACTACCATCCACCTCCAGAACTTTTTCGCCATCCCCAACTAAAACTCTATACCCATAAAACAACACCTCCCCATAACCCTTCTCCTCAGCCCCCAATAGTCACTATTCTACTTTCTCTCTCTGTCAATTTAACTATACGGACAACTGTGGGTTTTGCCATTGTTGTTGTTTTTTACAAGCAACTGTTTTTTAAAAGATATATAATCTTGCCCAAACTACTCTGTTAACAGCAGGGCATTGAAAAGACTCTATCATGAAGATGAAGAAAAATTAATAAAAACCTGTGATGCGGCCATATTTATTTACCCGTAAGTTGGGTAATCAGTTTGTCATTCAGACTAACGAGCTACAGTAATCATAGGAAGTGATTAAAAACAACAAAAACAGCAACACAGTTGGCATTCAGTGAGCACCAAGTATGTGTCAGGGGCCTCACAAAGCACAGGGCACACAGTTTCCAGAAGGTCCCGCCCACTTACTTGTGAAGAAGCTACTGTGGTACTAGTTGTGTGACTCTGATCCAATCACCTACACCTCTGTTCTCAGCTATAACAAGGAGATAATGACAGAATTTCAGTCATAGGATTACTGTGGGGGAATAAATGAGCTAATCCATGCAATGCCCCGGCACTATACCTGGCATTTTTAGGAAGTTCTCAATCAATGATGATGAGGACTGTTGTTCCTATTTAAGAGATGAGGAAGCTGGGACTTGGTGAGGTCACAACACATGGGTGGAATTGGAATCCAGCTCTCACACTGGAATCGGTATTCTAGATCTTGTCTCTCTGCTGCTTCTAAAGACACAAATATGCAGATGGGACTCTGAGGTCTCAGAGAAGGAGAAACAAGAGCTGAGGACCAGGGATGATAGACACAGAACCAGGGAGAGGACTCTAAAGCCAAAGGATCTGCTTCAGGGAGAAAAGAATAGAATTGTGAAGGGTGTAGGCTCTGGAATCAGACCACCAGGTTGTGAATCCTGGCATTCCCAACTTGCTAATACTTTGTGTCTCTAATTCCAATCTATAAATTGGGAGATAATAATGATAATGACAACAATAATATTACCAACCTCAGGGGAAGGGTAGTAGGTCTAAGTGACTGTATATCAAACATGTAGGACAGCGTCCAGCAGCTTAAATATTCAATACAAGTTACCTGTATGGCTGCTTTACAAGGAATAGCCAAGGAACCCTTTCCTCGGGGTGGCTGCAGCTGCATATTGCTTGACAAGTTGAGTGTGGGCAAGATTCCAGAGACCACACTCCCTCCAGCTGAAAGCCCTGGGCAGTGAGTGACCTGCCCAACCACACTGGTGGCCTGAATACATGTTCTCCTTGTTGCTCTCATACTAGGATTCTGATTCTCAGGAGGGTAGAAACAATACAATACTCAGGCTAAGGGATTATTGTTGGTTAATTGTTGGTTAATTTATTACTTATTAGTTCATTACTATTAGTTATTTCTCCATGTTTAGATAAAAGAACCCTCATATTGAAAAGGGCAATGGAAAGCTTCCCAATCTTGGAAGAAATACCCTTTTGGGATTTATGATTCATTTTGTTCTGACTCTTATTTGTCCTATGATTTCTGCTCAGTAAGAGTGTTCTGCGGGGAGAGCTCTTCATCACCTCTGGAGAAAGGGGGATAATTGGTAAATCAATCTTGTAATTAATATTACTCAGCTTTATATCTCAAGCACCTGAAACAGTATGTTGTGTAACAGAAACTGCTCAGGAGACACCCAAGCAGTGTCAGTGTCTTGATGAATTAACCTACCCTGCAGATATTTTCAGACAGACTAAAAACTTGAGGTTTTCAGGCACCTGGGTGGCTCAGCAGTTGAGAGTCTGTCTTTGGCTCAGGTTGCGATCCCGGGGTCCTAGGATCAAATCCCTGCATCAGGCTTCCTACAGGGAGCTTGCTTCTTCCTCTGGCTATGTCTCTGCCTCTCTGTGTCATTCATGAATAAATAAATAAAATGTTTAAAATATATATATTTCTTATTTAACCTCATATATCCAAAATAATACCAATTCAATGTGCAATCAACATAAAAATTACTGAGAGATGTTACATTCCTTTTTGTCATACTAGTCTTTGAAATCCATTGTGTGTCTTACACTCACAGCACATCTCAATTAACACTAGCCATATTTCAAGTGCTCATTTGTCACATGTGCCTGATGGCTACCATATTGGATAGTGATGACTTGAACCTTTTTAAAGCAATAGAGACCATACAACCATACCTCAGAGACTCTCTGGGCTCAAAGGACAGCAAATCAGCCTTAGTTCTACATTTAACCAATGGCTATTACTGAAACTATTAATTTTTCAACTGAATGATAGAATTGAAGCAGTGAAAACAGCAGGCAGGTGAAACAAAAAAGAATACCTTAAAATCTTCTGCTGTTTTAGTAACTTGCTACATTTTTCCTGTCTCATAGCCACCCATAACAGGAAAAGGACAACTTTAGTCTATAATACATAGATGATTAACAACGTACCAGGCACTATCTCAAGCACTCTATTTTTTAAAAAGATTTTATTTATTTATTTGAGACAGAGTGAGAGAGAGAACACGAGAGGGGTGAGGGGCAGAGGGAGAAGCAGGCTCCCCACTGAGTAGGGAGCCCAACTCAGGGCCCGATCCAAGGACCCCAGGATTATGACGTGAGCTGAAGGCAAAGGCTTAACAGACTGAGTCACCCAGGCAGCCCTACTTCAAGCACTTTACATAGCATATCTCTTAAAAAAAAAAAAAGATTATATTTATTTATTCATGAGAGAGGCAGAGAGAAAGGCAGAGACACAGGCAGAGGAAGAAGCAGGGTCCACGCAGGGACCCCGACGTGGGACTTGATTCTGGGTCTCCAGGATCACACCCTGGGCCAAAGGCTGCGTTAAACCGCTGAGCCACCTGGGCTGCCCCCTAGCATATCTTTTAATCTTCATAAAAATTTTAGGAGGTAGGTACTGAGAGCCCTACCTGGACAGGTAGGAAAACTGAAGAAAAGACAAGTTAAATAATTTGCCCAAGGTCATCCAGTGGAAGAGTGCTAGAGCCAGGTTTCAAATGCTCAAGTTCAATCCTGTTCTGCGCCCCGCTAACTGTGCCAACAGTCATCTGTCTCTGCCGGTCTTTCTTTTTTTTTCTTTTAAAGAAAAGAAGAGAGAGAGGCAGAGACATAGGCAGAGGAAGAAGCAGGCTCCTTTGGGGAGCCTGATATGGGGATTGGATCCTAGGACCCTGGGATCAGACCTGAGCCAAAGGCAGATGTTCAACCACAGAGCCACCCAGGCGCCCCGTCTCTTCCTTATTTTTATTTTATTTTATTTTTTTAAATATTTTATTTATTTATTCATGAGAGACACACAGAGAGAGGCAGAGACACATGTGAGGGAGAAGCAGGCTCCCTGTGGGGAGCCTGATGCAGGGATTGGATCCTAGGACCCTGGGATCAGACCTAAGCCAAAGGCAGATGCTTAAGCCACCCAGGCACCCCTATCTCTTCCTTTTTAAAAGGTGAACAATAATAGCATTGTTATGAAAAATAAATATATGAGTACATGTAAAGCATTGGAACTTCTCCAGGTTGTCAGAGGTGCCCAACAAGTTAGCTCTTCTCATTCCCATTATGACCTCCATGCAATAAGCAAAAAAATGAAACATCAGCATCAACTTGTTTTTATGGAGATTTGTTTGAGATCATGACATATTATGCGTAATTGTACATCAACCTCTGAATACTCTGAAAACGTTGGTATAATCTGCAGCCCACCACATGTGAGATAAAAGACAATGAATGTAGTTGTTATCTTCTATTAGAATTATCTTTCTATTTTGCTCCCTCATCCCAGGCTGTGGCTCCCTTTTGGAGAGCAACATGAATCCCACTTACTGACTGAATAACTCTTCTTGGCCAACTCCTCGGTTGCTGCTGCTAGGCACTCTAAAAAGAGTATGATGAGGTCCAGGAAACAGTGGTCCCTGCAGCCAACAGGAGAGACAAAAGAAATCAGTTACATGCCAGTGGCAAGAGCAACTCCGAAGAAGGAAAGACAATCCATCATCTTGCCTAATTGCAACTTTTTCTAACTTTCTCCTAAGAGTAACATTCTTCTAGTTCCCAAGAGTGAAAACCTTAGAGTTGCTGCCAACATCTCTTTGATGGACTGAATTATGACCCCCCTAAAACTTTTATGTTGAAGTTCTAAACCCCAGTTCCTCGAATGTGATTATATTTGGACATAGGGCATTTAAAGAGGTGATTAACTTAAAATAAGTTCTTTAGTGTGGGCCCTAAGCCAATCTGATTGATGTCTAGTGAGAGGAAATCTAGACACCCAAGGGCTAGGGTATTTTGTTACACTAGTCCTGACATATTAACACAATCTCCTTTCCACTGGTTTTCACATATAAATAATTTGTGATAGTTTTTCAGTCCCACCAACTCAACATCTTGGGTTTGCTTTAAAATAGTCAAGGAGAAGGGCACCTGCATGGCTAAGTTAGCTAAGTGTCTGCCATCGGCTCAAGTCGTGATCCTGGGATAGAGCTCCACATGGGCTGCCTGCCCTTCCTTCTCCCTCTCCCTCTACCCCTCCCTCCCATTTATTCCAGCTCTCTCATGTGCTCTCAAATGCTCTCTCAAATAAATTAAAATAAAATAAAAATACTCAAGGATAGGGGCGCCTGGATGGCTCAGTCTGTTTAAGTGTTCAACTCTCGGTTTCTGCTCAGGTCACAATCTCAGGGTCCTGGGATCGAGTCCCATATCAGATCTGCACTTAGCATAGCATCTGCTAGAGAATCTCTCTCTCCCTCTACTCCTCCCCCTGCTGGTTCTCACTCCCTCTCTCTAAAATTAATAATAATAAATAAATAAAAACTTTTAAAATAGGAGAAATAGATATATGGAGAGTAGAGAAGCAACAAAATTAGCAATGATTAAATCAGGGTGATTGTTACAAAGGAGTTCATTACACTTTATTTTGGATACGTATGGAAAATTCTACAGCAAAGAATTTAGGGAGGAACTATGAATATTGAGAGAAGAATGTCATAAAATAAATAAATACACATTTAAACCATCTATATTCTAGTATCAGCAGTTATTCTGAATGCTTTTTTTTTTATATATTTCTATATTTTCTGAATTCTCTATAATGAGTGTGTATATCTTCCATAATGGGAATAGAATTATATTATCTGGAATAAAATAAAAAGAGAATGCTTCCAAAATTGTATAAAGAACTCCAGACTAATGAATCCTGCTTTCAAAATATTCTACAATAGGGGCACCTGGGTGGTTCAGTGGTTGAGCATCTGCCTTTGACTCAGATTGTGATCCCAGGGTCCTGGGACGGAGCCCCGCATCAAGCTCTCCATGGGGAGTCTGCTTCTCCTTCTGTATATGTCTCTGCCTCTCTCTCTGTGTCTCTCATGAATAAATTAATAAAATCTTTAAAAAACAAACTACTCTACAATAAAAATTCCAATCTACCTCCATAATTTGATCCCAAATCATTCCTCTGAAGCCAGTTTCCTATGGTTAAATATTTATACAGTTTATTTTTCTATTATGTTTCCTAATTCCAATTTGGGGACTTTAAACTTTGGGACCAAGGATACGCACACACATAAAGAACACACACCCTGGACTCAAATCCACTTCATCCACTAGCACTGTAACATAGAACATGTAACTTTTGCTCCTTTGCCTCCACCTGTAAAACAGAGGCGGTAACAGTATTCACCTCACAGGGCTTTGTGAAGACTAGAAATGTTCATTGTTATAAAACCCTCAGGACGATGCTTAGCATTCAAGGCTGTAAACATTACGACTATCACTAATGCCCTGTACCTATTCTACATATTTCCCCAATTATTTAACATTTGCTAATGAATGAAATACCTCTACCACCGCAGAAAAGGAAGACAAAAGCCTAAGTACAGTCACAGTGGGGCTCTGCTGCCAGGAGCCCTCTTTCAGAGAAGTCAGGACTTGGGGGCGCCCAGGCGGCTCAGTGGTTGAGCATCTTCTTTCAGCTCAAGTCCTGATCCCAGGGTCCTGGGATTAGTCCCACATCGGGCTCCCTATGGGGAGCCTGCTTCTCCCTCTGCCTATGTCCCTGCCTCTCTCTGTGCGTCACTTATGAATAAATAAATAAAATCTTTAAAAAAAAAAAAAAGGAATCAGGACAGGAGGAAGAAAGGAGTCTGAGATACTACAATCCTGTCTGTGGCCCTAGAAAAACCACAGAAGGCATCTATGGCTGATGCTCTCTTTCTCTAAAAAAAACGAATCAGAAGTAGTCCAGGCACAGCCCCTTTCGTGCACTGAGAATAGCCCGCGGTACTTGGAAGAGGCTGCAGAGAGGTAAGTTTTCTGATGATGACACACGTCTGAACTGTTCTCAACATTTCACTTGTCCTATAGAGTTAATTCCCAAGGCAAATGTACGCGGTAGGTAATATCCCCGTTTCCAGAAAAGGAAACTGAGGCACAGAAAGATTAAGTTGCAGAAGTGACGGAGCGTGTGGAAGGTGAGCGGACGGCGAGCTGGGCAGCAAGAGCCCCGAGACCCTCGACCTCCGCGGAGCCGGGTCCGCCTCCCAGCCGCAGACCCCGAACCGCTCCGAAGGACTCGGGTGAGGGGAAGGCAAGCGGCCGCCCCGTCCCTCAATCTCGCTGCCACTGGCCGAGACTTTCCCTCCCTGTCACCCAGGGCCCGGCGCGCCGGATCCCACGGCCAGGCCAAAAACTTAAAAGAGGTCGCGGGGTCCCGGGGATCACTCACCTCCCAGAAAGAAACCGAAGGCCGCGATCTTAACCTTCCGCAGCGGAAATACCTCCGACTACGCGGGGCTCCTGGACTACATTTCCCAGCATTCCCCAGAGGACCCCGAGTCGCTGTCCCGCACCCCGCGACGGCCTGAATCCAATTTCCTGGAGTCCACGAAAGGAGAGGGGTTTGCATTCTTGTCGTCCGGTGGCCGAAATGCCTCCGAACACGCAGAGCACTGTATTATATTCTGTTTCTTCAGCACAGCAAATAGATTTGCGCTCTCCGTTAGCGGAAGTGCCCCAATGCCTGAAAGCGACTGGACTACACGTCCCAGAATCCTCTGTATGCGTGGGCTTCCCGCCTACCTGCAATTTCCCTTTTGAATTAGCAAGTGGAGTCTAAATAAGCTCTTGGGTGCTGTGGAACTGGACTTGTCTTCTTTTTTCTTTTCTTTTCTTTTCTTTTCTTTTCTTTTCTTTTCTTTTCTTTTCTTTTCTTTTCTTTTCTTTTCTTTCTTTTCTTTTCTTTCTCACGGCTGCCTTTCACTGCAACATAGTTGGAAACAGAAAAAAGGAAAATAATTACAAAGGTTGCTATGTGTTAGGTAAAAAAAAAAAAAAAAAAAGGGACCATAAAAGGGGCAGGCTGAGCTGCACTGAACAAGCCTACTTTATTACATGGACCTGACTTCACCTATGACCAAGAACCCATTAAAAAGGAGATATAACAAGGGACGCCTGGGTACCTCAGTCAGTCGAGCATCTCACTCCTGGTTAGGATTCAGATCATTGTCTTGGAGTCTTGGGACCAGGCTGTGTGCTCAGTATGGAGTCAGCTTGAGATCCTCTCTCTTCCTTTAGTTCTTCTCCTTCCCCTGCTCATGCACTTACTCTAAAAAAATTAAAGCAATATAGTTTTTTTTTTAAGTATATGCAACCATCCAGCAGGATATAAAACAGAAGGAGCAAAATTCTCTGCTTTTCCTTGGCTGTAGGAATTTTTTTCTTGCATTGACATGGGATTGGAGAAAATATAGAATAAGGTCCACCCTATACAATATTTTTTAAAAAAATCTTTGAGGGGCACCCAAGTGGCTTAGTTAAGTGTTTGCCTTTGGCTCAAGTCTCTCAGGGTCCTGAGATTAAGCCCCGCCTTAGGCTCCCTGCTCAGAAGGGAGTTGGCTTCTCTCTCTTTCTCGGCCCAGTCCCCCTGCCCTCCCACCTTGGCTCAAATAATAAAATCTTTTTAAAAAATCTTCTTTGGGAATATTACTCAGCCATTAGAAAGGATGAATACCCACCATTTGCTTCTTCGTGGATAGAACTGGAGGGTATTACGCTGAATGAAGTCAGTCAATCGGAGAAGGACAATGAACATCATATGGCTTCATTCATTCAAGGAATATAAAAAATAGTTAAAGGGATTAAAGAAAATGAGTGGGAAATATCAGAGAGGGAGACAGAACATGAGAGACTCCTAACTCTGGGAAACGAACAAGGGGTGGTGGAAGGGGAGGTGGGGGGGGATGGGGTGACTGGGTGACGGGCACTGAGAGGGGCACTTGACGGGATGAGCACTGGGTGTTATATGTTGGCAAATAGAACTCCAATAAAAAAATATACACAAAAATAAATAAATAAAAATTAAAAAATATCTTTGAGTTCACCAAAGATATCTTCACCAACACTCATTATCGTCTCTTTGTGGTAGCCATTCTAACAGGTGTGAGGTGATATCTCACTGTGGTTTTGATTTGTATTTGCCTGATAATTAGCAATGTTGAGAACCTTTTTATGTACGTTGGCCATTTAGATCACTTCTTCGGAAAAATGTATGTTCGTTCTTCTGCCCATTTTTAAAAATTGTATTATTTGGTTTTTGTTGTTATTGAGTTGTATGAGTTTTTATATTTTAATATATATGTATTTATATATATTAACTTCTTATCTGATGTAGGATTTCTCCCATTCCATAAATTTCCTTTTCATCTTTAAAAAATATTATTTCTTGGGGTGCCTGGGTGGCTCAGTCAGTTAAGCATCTGCCTTCAGCTCAGGTCATGATCCCTTGATCCTGGGATCAACCCCTGCGTTGGGCTCCCTGTTCAGTGGGGAGCCTGCTTCTCCCCCTCCTCCTGGCTTGTTCTCTCTCACTATCTCTGTCTTTCTATCTCAAATAAATAAAAACAATCTCTAAAATTATTTCTTTTGCTGTGCAGAGGCTTTCTAGTTTTAAATTTCTTCTCAAGCTTTTATTTAACTTCCAGGTAACATACTGTATAATGTTAGTTTCAAGTGTAGAATTCAGTGATTCATCACTTGGATACAACACTTTGTGCTCATCACAAGTGCCCTCCTTAATACCCGTCACCTATTTAACCCATCTCCCAAGCCCATTCCCCTCCAGTAACCTACAATTTGTTCTCTATAGTTAAGATTCTATTTCTTGGCTTGCCTCTTGCCCCACCATGTTCATTTGTTTTGCTTCTTAAATTCCACTTATTAGTGAAATCATATGGTACTTGTCTTTTGCTGATGTGTAGGAGGCTTTTTAGATTGACATAACCCCACTTGTTGATTTTTGCTTTTGTTGCCTGTGCTCTTGGTGTCATATCCAAAAAATCATTGCCTATTCCAATGTCAAGGAGTTTCTTCCCAATGTTTTTCCCTGGGAGTTTTATGGTATCAGGTTTTATGTTCAAGGTTTTATTCCATTTTGAGTTAATTTTTGTGAGTAGTGTATAACAGAGGTCCAATTTCATTTTTCTGCATGTGGTTATCCAGTTTTCCCAACACCATTTTTTGAAGAGACTATCCTCTCTCTATTGAGTGCTCTTTGATCCTTTGTTAAATATTAGTTGACTATGCAGGGTTTATTTCTGAGCTCTCAATTTTGTTCCATTGTATCTACTTTTATGTCAGGACCATGCTGTCTTAATTACTATAGCTTTGTAGGACAGTTTGAAATTAGGAAGTGTGATACCTCCAGATTTATTCTTCTTTATCTTAATTGCTCTGGCTATTAGGCATCTTTTATGCTTTCAATTTAAAATTTTAGGATTATGGGCAGCCCCGGTGGCGCAGCGGTTTAGCGCCGCCTACAGCTCAGGGCGTGATCCTGGAGACCATGGATCGAATCCCTGGGGACCATGGATGAATCCCACGTCGGGTTCCCTGCATGGAGCTTGCTTCTCCCTCTGCCTGTGTCTCTGCCTCTCTCTCTCTCTCTGTGTGTGTGTCTCTATGAATAAATAAAATAAAAAATCTTTAAAAAAATTTAGGATAATTTATTTCTATTTCTGTGAAATATGCCACTAGAATTTTGACTGGGTTGTAGGAACATTTTAACAATATTAATTCTACTTCATGTATACAAGATCTCTCTCCATTTATTTCTGTCTTCAATTTCTTTCATCAAAGTTTTATCATTTTTAGTATACAAGTATTTTACTTCCTTGTTTAAATTTATTCCTAAGTATTTTTATTTTTGATACTGTTGTTAATGGAATAGTTTTCTCTCTTTCTTTTTTATATATCCCATTGAGTGTATAGAAACCCACTTGATATCTATATGTTGATTCTTTACCATGCTGCTTTACTGAATTCACTGATTGGGAGAGGTCTTCAGATTTTCTGTATATATAAGATCATATCATCTGCAAACAAAGATCATTTTACCTCTTCCTCTCTGAGTTGGTGTCTTTTATTTCTTTATCTTGCCTTATTGTTCTCCTAGGACTTCCTGCGTTGTGTTGAATAGGAATGATGAGAGTGGGTACACTATTTTATTCCTGATCTTAGAAGAAAGGCTTACAACCTTTCACCATTGAGTAAGAGGATTTGATGTATATGGCCTCTATTCTGTCGAAGTACATTTCATCTACATGTGATTTGTTGAGAGCTTTTATCGTGAAAGGGTGTTGTATTTTTTCTAACGCTTTTTGATCCTCTGTTCAGATTATCATGTGATTTTTATCTTTGATTCTGCTAATGTGGTATATCACATTTATTGATTGGCATGTGTTGAGCTATCCATGCATCTCAGGGATAAATCCCACTTAGTGGTGGTGTATGATTTTTATAAAGTGCTGTTGAATTTGGTCTGCTGATATTTTGTTGAGAATTTTTACATCCATAATCATTAATAGCATTTGTCTGCAATAGCATTTGTCTGCAGTTTTCTGAGACTGTAGTGTCCCTATCTGGCTTTAAGAAGGATTGGTGTTAATTTTTCATTAAAAGTTTGGTAGACTTTACTAGTGAAACCATTTAGTCCTGAGCTGTGTTGGATTTGGGGAGGAGGTGTTGTTGGTTTTTTTTTTTTTCCTTATTCAGTATTGGTTTGCCCAGATTTTCTATTTCTTTCTTATTTGGTCTTGGTAGGTTGTATGTTTCTAGAAATTTTTCCTTTTCTTCTTGGGTTATCTAATTTGTTTGCATATAATTGGTCATACTCTTACTTATGATTCTATGAATTTCTGTGATATCAGTTATAATATGTCCTCTTTCCTTTGAGACTTTGTATCAGTACTTTATTAATATAGCTAGAGATTTGTCAATCTTATCTTTTAAAAAAATAGCCCTTAGTTTGATATTTTCTCTTGTTTTGGTCTCTATTTCACTTATTTATGCTCTAGTCTTTGTTTTCTCCTCTGTTTTTCTAACTTTGGGCTTAGTTTGTTCTTTTTCTAGTTCCTACGGGTGTGAAGTTAGGTTGTGTGAGATCTTTTATATTTTCCTAATCTAGAGGTTTGTTTCTATAAGTTTCCCTCTTTGAACTGCTTTAGTAGCATCCCATAGGTATGGTATGTTGTGTTTCTACTTTCACTTATTTCAATATGTATTTTGATTTCCCTTTTGATTTCTTCTCTGACCCATTGGTTGTTCAAGAGTATGCTGTTTAATTTCTACATATTTTTAGATCTTCCAGCTTTCCAGGGATCCCTGGGTGGCTCAGCAGTTTGGCGCCTGCCTTCGGCCCAGGGCGTGATCCTGGAGTCCCAGGATCGAGTCCCACATCAGGCTTCCTGCATGGAGCCTGCTTCTCTTGTCTGTGTCTCTGCCTCTCTCTCTCTCTCTCTCTCTCTCTCTCTCTCTCTCTCTGTGTGTGTGTGTGTGTGTCTCATGAATAAATAGATAAAATCTTAAAAAAAAAAAGATCTTCCAGCTTTCCACCTGCTACTGATCTCTAGTTTCATACTATTGTGGTC